TTTTTTCGTCATATGTCTCTTTTACTTAAGAAGTTATTCGGAACTGAGTTCAAATCTACCAATATTTTTTTTACTATGCACGTATCCAGCTGTCTCGCACTCTTCTCCTACATATCCAATTGTCCTGTTTGGAGCATTGAATAAATTTCGAAAACTTTTCTCCTTTACATACTATTATTTTTAACAGAACTCAAGCTGGTTGATAACTGCAAGATGGATATTCTTTCCATTTGTAGAATTCCATGCCTTATTTTTATCTGCGTACGAATGACGAATCAATCTTAGGATATTAATGACAAACATTAGTTTTACTCATCGCATATCAAATGCATACCGTTATTCTATTTTCGATGAGTCTACCGTTCTTATCTAATAGTCCTACGAGAGGTAATTGGGAATATCGAACGGGAAAATCAGGAAAAATATGAAAGATATGCATGTGTGAGTATATTTGAAAATATTTTGACAACTAGATACAGACGGCATCATTCTACCTGCCGTTCCTAAGTTATGTAGACATAATGAAAAGAAAAAAGGCATACATGTTGCAAATATTAGACATGAAGTGATTGCATGAATATATTTTTACCGAGAGAGTTCACTTGTTTCTATTTTGACCACGATCAATGGACGATTAGGTTTTTAATCGTAAGATATGGGGCGAGTGTAGATGTGTTTGAATCGATAACATTGACCAAGATTCACACCATATCCGCATCTTTGATGGCTAGAACAAAATGAACTTTGGTTTCTTGTTTATTTGTGCTGTTGTTCCGATATTTCACTAATACATCGATGTATCGGTAAACACTATTGAGCATTGAACTGAAATAAGTGTACAAGTGATGTGTCTCTTAAATCGAATCCAACCAGCCATCTATCTACTCTCAAAAGCTTCAACTTGTTACAACAACTTAGTAGTGCAGGCAGGTCTCACATTTTCCCATTTTGTCGTTATAATATTACAAGAGGTCAGGCTTTTGAATGGTGCTTCTGTTCGAAAATATCTTTCGCATATTTAGAAATCTTGATCAATTCAACTATTAATAGTCTTTTGCGATCTCATTCATTCTTTGTTTGAAAGTAGTTCTTAATTCATTGAGGTACTTCTGTGTTGTGGACGAGAGGACCCATATGTTTCTCGCAAGAATAATACCCTTCTGCTAGTGCGACATGACGAAACAGCCGATTTTATCGAGAGAAGTTTTGCATCGTTCTCTGTTCATTTTTCTAAATTATTCGAAAAAAGCCGTCTGTACAGTATTTTAGCGTGTCCTAAGATGGCTTTTGACTGTTTTCGTGTCTTTACACATGATTCTTCTGCAGTTATCTCTGGAAACTGAATTAAGTACCAACATAGAAGATATTGAAAATATTGCACGAATACACATAGTAACACTCATATACTATATCTCCAATATCTCCTATGCTAGCAGTTAATTGAGTTTCTATGAAAATTTTGAAATAACGTCTAATCTGTCTTTAGGTGAAATTCTTCAAACAAGTTGACATACGTGAACAGTATTAAATCTTGAAGATGACAGACACGTTTCTCTCGGAAACAAGAAGGTATGTACGAGTATTATTCTTATTCTGATGCGCTAACTAAATAAAGCGTCGTTGAGAGCATAAAAACAGAGGAGCATACCGGCGTATGGCTAGTGAGTGGCATTAGTCCTTCACGAAAAATTACCTGAAGGATACAAAAAAAGGTTACACTGTCAAAGCTATTTTCACTATGGTAGTTCTCATTCTCAAAAAATCTCTTTGTTGCCTGACAACAGTGCAAGTTAAATTTATCGTATTATAGTCGGCTATCGAATACTGCATTTCGCTTTATGACACCTGCCAGACTGCTCGGGTTTCTCGTTGGAATTTTCGCCATTACTACAGTTGTGGTCAGCACACTTTATGGTATCGAAAAGGCCAGAAAAACAACAGCAACGGTAGAAAGAGCTCTACCATCCACAACAACTACAAACGGTATTACTCCTTTTTTTTTCTTAAAATGAAATCTTATGCTTGTATGATTTTGTTCGTTTAAGATATATGCCTGACTCCGTATTGTGTCAAAGCAGGTATATATCTTTTTGTAAGAAAATCAATCAAATATGATCGTCTAATTTCTAGCCAACTATCTAATTGAAAGTATTGATGAAACTGTCGAACCGTGCGAAGATTTTTTTCATTTTGCCTGTGGCACATGGGTTAAAAATACAAGAATACCAGATGATGGTATGAAATAACTTCTCTTTCGTATTGATGGAAATTTCTTATTTGCTTGTTGGTTCTAGTTAGTGCACAGACTACTTTCAATTTATTACGGACCCAATTGGATTACAATGTTGTCGGTACGCGTAAATGAGATTGATTAGTCATATTTATCTGTTAATATCATAGATCTACTATCGTCACCACCTGCGAATGATGTCAGCGAACCCAAAGCTGTTGTCAATGCTCGTCGTTTCTACAACTCGTGCATAGATGAAGAAGAAATCGAGGCTAATGGTGTTGATACTATTCTTTCACTGGTTAATACAGAATTTGGTGGTTGGCCTATACTACAAGGTCCATCATGGAATAGTGCAACGTTTGATCTGCCAAATCTCTTGTTCCAACTGCGCAAATATTATAGTAATACTATCTATCGAATAGACACAGCGATCAATGAAGAAAATTCCACAGTGCACAACATTGAAGTACGTCTAACCACTGATCAACATAGATGTAGGCATAGGATTGTCATAATATTCAAAGAGCACTCGAATCAAGTAATGTTCTCATTGACCTGCTCGAACTGGAGTTTTTCACAACTGTAACTGAAATTTCATAGAAAATTTCTAGCATCTATTTATGTTTCAGTAACGCGTCTATAAGAAAAAATATTTCAAAAAGACGGGCGTACACAAGACTAGAGATGAGCACCATAATTTTTCTTCGACAGATCGTTTTGGAGTCTACATAGATCGATAGATTTCAGCATGACGAACATTTTGCTGCTGCTTTTGATATACCTTCAGAAGACTTTTTTAAAAGTTAGTCTGCGCTTCATGCGGATACTAGCTTTATGTTTTGTTACTGTATCTGCTTTTTATATCAAGGCTCCAGATATACAGATATGTATATATGACTTATATCATATGAAATGGATTCATACTCTGGCAAAATACATCTCACTATAGAGCTATTTCAATTTCGTTAAGAGTTGACAAGAATATCAGTATAACAATTCGGTAGTTTGTCAAATTATACAGCATCTACCACTCATAACACATGCACCTTTGATCTCAATAACATCTTAAAGAAAGCAAAATATCTGCTCGTAATTTTTCCATTATCGCTAGGAAGCACATAGACTCTGAAAATACTATCAAGTACTATGGTTGATCATACTGGCCACTATAGCTATGGTAGAAACTATGTCAAAATGAAATAAATTGCAATTCATTCCCACGATTATTTAGAATATATCTCAATAGTCGGGAGATACCTGTTTTTCATCTTCGCAGTAGTGATAGAAGACACTTAGATTTCAAAATCATATGAAACAGCAGGAATCACTCTACCGGCCACTTTGACTGTAATCGACAAGAACATATGTGTGTGATTTTTTTTATGTGTCACTGGTGGATACTAAGACCATCTAAAATAATTGATTTAGTAATCCTATTTTATTGGTAGATTGCGAATTATGCGTTATTTTTGTCTCATTTTGGCCATTGGTGTAAGGGTTGAGAGATTGACTAGTCTAGAGAACTTCATACATTCGAGTTATTTTAAAGATATAACTTATCTCTAACTACAGTAAAGAAAACATGAACAAATATTTTATTTTTCTCTAAATACTATCAAGATACGAGGTGCATATGCGATATATACGGATAGTAGATGCTTTATAATTTGAGAAACTATCGAATGTCTATATGATACTCATATCAACTCTTAACAAAACTACAATATCTTCATAGTAAGGTAGATTTGTCAAGTTTTGAACTAATTTTATATGACATGAGTCACATTTCTATATCTGCATACATGGAACCGTAGTATAAAAAGCGAATAGTGTAATAAAGCAGAAAAATAATACCCAAATGAAGCGTAGACTAACTTTGAAAAGATCCTTCTAAAGTTGTACCAAAAGCAGCAGCAAAACGTTTGTCATGCTGAAATATATCGATCTATATAGTTTTCAACATGATCTGACAAAGAAAAGTGAGTAAGCTGATTCCTTGGCTTATGTGCAGTTCTGCCCTTTCTCAACAATCTAATTTTGCTGAGTATTGGAGAGCTCCTAGTTACGCAGTGTTGAAATTCTTTGAGTAAATCATCAGAATTATACATTCATGAAGACAATTGTTTCTGCCAACAATCTTGAATAAACTGTCTTATATAAAATCGATGGTATTGTCATGTCACTTACGATACATATCCTATTAACCATTCTAGGTCGGACAAAGTGATCTTGCACTCGGGCAAAAGCAATACTATGCCAGCGAGACAAACATCACAATCGCTTATCGACAGTTTATACATGAATTGGCCATGGAATTAGGACAGGACACATCAATGATTGATCAAGATGTCAATGATATATACGAGTTTGAAAAGAATATTGCAAAAGTAATCAAATATCTGTTTCTTTTCTTATGCATACACTAATTCTAATTTACTTGTTCACCATAGTATCATTGGACTAATGACGAACAAAGAGCGCGCCATAATGAAACTGTTCGAACTACACTTGGTAAACTATCATCGACATTTAATGCAACAGTCAGTTTTGCTTTTCCTTTTCTTTCATGTCGCCTGTTCTATACTGTCTTGTCTTGATATAGTTTGACTTTACCGATTATCTTCGTCGTTGCTATCTGTTTGGCAATGTGGTTTTACAAGATACAGACATTGTAGTCGTTGGTGAAATTGAGTATTTGAATAATGTATCATTGATTCTTAAGCAAGCTTCACCACGCACCATACAGAATTATATTCTTTGGCGATTCATGATGGGTGCAACTTCGCTGATGCCTCAACATATTCGAATGATTAGACAACGATTCGATCGAATCTTTCGTGGTACAAATGCTGAACGACCACGTAAAGTAGTATGTGGTGGTCTTGCCAATAATTATATGGGTTTTGCTGTCTCGAAACTTTATATCAAAAAATATTTTGATGAAAATGCTCTCAACGAGGTTTGTTCAAATCTATATTATGTTTATTGATATTTTGATATTTTTAAAGTCTCTTGAAATGATAAACAATATTCGAAATACATTCATTGAAATGCTTGATGAGTCTACTTGGATGGATGCTGAATCGAAAGTAAAAGCCATCGAGAAGGTAAATCTAGAAAATCAATCGAGATCAAAACGAAATTATGAGTATTTAGGCCAAAAGCATGGATCCTCATATCGGTTATCCTGAGTATTTGGGCAGTGATAATAATACAAAACTCGAAGAAGATTATGCTGAAGTAAGCAATGCGATAAGTGTTGATGTATATATGAGATAATGTCATTTTGACTCTACTACGGATTATTATAAATGTTGTATGAGATTTCTCCCATAGGACTGTAGGATTGTCCTGATGTTTTCCATCGAGAAATGCATCTCTCTTCTATAGCGTATGCCTCTTTGAATATAGTACAATTTCAACTCATCGTATATTAGAAACGTTCTCAAAATGCTTGAAATAAAAGCCAAGGAAAGTTTTCAACTGTTGCGAAAACCTGTCGACATAAACGGATGGGGCGACTACTCTGCACCCAGTGTTGTAAATGCCTTTTATGAACCATCAAGAAATCAAATAAGTACGTTCATTGATCTTCTATATTACAATTATACTATATATGAATATTTTTTTTTATTCTTTAGGTTTTCCGGCTGGTATTTTACAAACGCCCTTCTTTAATAAAGATGCACCCAAGTAACTATTATCTGTTTATTGTGTCGTAATTAATTTAACTATTCTATTTATTATCTAGGTATCTCAATTACGGTGGTAAGTACTAAAGTTTGAATGCATACAATTTCAACAGAGCCGAAAATTCTCCTACAAAACATTTGATATATATTTCTGCATACAAATAAGACGGAGAGGAGTGAACAATAATGTGCTATTGTTGTTGTTGTTGCATGAATATTGAAAGATCTTGGAGGTTAACAAGATAAACAAAATTTGTTTTAGACAAACCGAGAAATATTATTAAATTAAATAAAACATACAAAAGATTTTGTTTTTCTATAAAAATGTATACATTGAAATCAAGGGTTTTTTTTTTATTCATTGTTCATGTACAGTAAAGACTTTTCTAAATTTTATTACAAGAAAAATCCTGGTTTTTTACCGATTTTTCACATTTCAGCACAAAGAATAGCCAAATTTTTCTTTTAAAAAGCATTTTCCCAATGGATTTTATATTCATTGGAAAAACTAATATGGATTCTTTGATCTTAAATACTCATTTAGGTATTGGTGTCGTAATTGGGCACGAAATTACACATGGTTTTGATGATACCGGTCGGCAATTTGACAAAAATGGAAATCGAATTCCATGGTGGACAGATGAAACAATCAAAAAGTTTAACGATCGCAAGACATGTATTATCAATCAGTACAGTGACTACACAGTGACACAAATCAATATGAAAGTCAGTTTTTCATCTTAAGATTGTTGAATTGAATAAATTAATTTCATTTTATCTTTCATTAGGCAGATGGAAATCTAACACAAGGAGAAGATATTGCTGACAATGGTGGCCTTAGAGAAGCATTTTTCGTAAGTATATTTGAGTTATTAACATGCATGCCCTAGTCTATTATGCAATGTTTTCGAGATGATTTGATAAATTTGCCATTTGTCTATGTAGTATTGAATGTCATCATCTAAGAAAATATCCTCTTTGTTTTAGGCTTATCGAAAATGGACAGCAAACAACAAGAATGTTGACAAAATATTACCTGGTCTTCAGAAATAT